TTTCTTTTTAGTGATTGTCCAGCATCACATAAGTGCTGTATGGTGGAAACTTAGGGTAGAGTTCTTCAAGATGCTGTTCAAGTTCTTTAGCTGCAAAACTGCTGCTTCTCTTCCAGCAAACCCTTGATCGTTCACTGTAACTTAACTCTTGCAACAAACAGAACAGTGCCATACTGTCCACAGTCTGCTGCGCTCTGCAACCCTGCTTTCTGTAGAGTAGTCCCATCCTGAATGAGACTTGTCCCCTGTAGAATTAATATATAATTAATTAAAAATTAAAGTAAAATTGATAAATTATGCATCATTATTTTAATGAAATATGATAATAGTTAAAATACTAACATTATTTCATTGCTAACTTGAAAAAAACATAAACTGAAATAAAAGTTTTTAAAAAATTAATTGGGAGCTTTTTAAGCTTTTGCTAATTTCTATAACTATTTTTGTTTTTAAAGTAAATGTTTGATAAAATTTTGTGAATGTTAATATTTCTTTAGCCATAACTCTGTTTTCCCTTTTTTTTTTTTTTTTTTAATTTTTAGGCAGATTCTTAAAATGCTTACAGTCCACAAAGGAAATAAAAATCTCTCAGTAATAGGACTGAAAGCATTAAATCTACTCCTCATGTCAGGTATTGTGTGTTTTACTTTCCTACTTTGTCTAAGCCTTTAAAACACAGAACTGTGGTATAAAGTGTGTGACTGTACATGTCGGACCTGATTTTTCTCTCTGTTTTACTCTGTAAAGTCACTTGTCATTTGTACTTGTATACAAAATAATGAGAGTACTGTTTTGCACCTTTTTTACACAGGTAGAAATGATTCTCCAAATTACAAGGCTGTGAAGAACATGACCGATTAATTTTGCCAACTTGTTATTAGCATAGTCATAAATACTTGCTGTTAAGTAGTTAAGTAAAATAAGTAAGAGCTTATTTTTTCTTACCAAATTATAAATTTGGTGACATTCTGACTTGCTTCCTTTAGTACTGGTTAGTACTTTTGAAAACAGTAAATCATCGCTGACATTTCTGTTATTCTGCTCTGCAGAGACCTAATCTTACCAGGTACTGAGAACTTTTCTCATGGTGCTGAGATTCTTGATCTTCTGTTGAAATTAAAGAGAGACCCTAAGGGAGAGACTCAGCTAGTTTTATTCAAACTAGCATATAGTATTAGTACAAATTACTGTTAGAATATGAATGTTTCCATTGACTTTTACAGGCTTTGGAATCAGCCTTATTTACAAACTAAGGATTAGACTTGACTTTAGGTAGTTAAAACTAATCCAGTTGTCCAAGCTTTTGCTGTAGGCAGTAGAGTGAGACAGGCACTTTCAGAGGATGGTTCATGCTATTCATTTGTCTGTTTTATAAGATCAGTTACCTCTTGAACCTGTTTTCCTCTCCCTTTTGATTGTAGAGAGGTCTGGAGGACTAGCTTAGACTGGATGCCTAACTTTTTATCTGCTGAAGTTGGGTAATACAGGTCTCATTATAAGGCATTACACTGTGTGATTAATAATAATAGTAGCAAAATCTGGCTATTAGTGAGTAACTGTAACCAGCACCTTCTTTCTTTTAATTGTGAGGTATCGTAAAGGGTCCTAAACTGTTGACTAGATATTCCAGAAGTTTATTCCTGACTGCTACTCTTCTTCTCAACAGTTGATTAACCAAACTTAAACTCTCATTTCAACTACCTTACTTCAGAAAAATATTTGAAATTGTATCTTGTCAGAAAAATCTCTTAGTATTCTTTATTTCTATATGTCTGTAAATTTGAATTACACTAGAGCTGGAGCTGATAGGCCAGTGTGAATGCCATATAGAAAGATCTTCTCTTAAAAAAAAAAACAAACCCAAAACAAACAAACAAAAAAGCTGCAGCTGAAACACTGGAACAGGCATTATGAATTCTATTGATATTGCTTGTAAGCTTGAAAAATTGTCATGAATATGAATCTTTTTCCC